ATCTCGGCTTTCCCTTTCTTCCGCCTCCCGCCTCTCTACTCTCAGTACATGAGAGCAGGCTGTGGTTATTTGTGCCCTTGCAGGAGGAGTGACCGTATCCTTCCTTTCAAATTCCCTCCATCGGTTGAGAGTGACAATATATTCTTTTTTAAGCTTATGTGAAGCCCCCAATAGAATGCACAGCTCCTCACACTCTTTTCTCAGCTCTTGGTATGGCGGTGATGCCTTTATTGTGCTCAACAACACTTCGTCTTGGATGAATTCATTGGGGCTACTCTTAAAAGGTCCTGCATATAGACCCTCCCATCGAATTCCACAACGCCCCTGCCGGCAAAATAACCCCAAAGAAAATCATTCAGCCACATGTTGGTGATGCGTTCCCTTCCCTCCAGCAGTACTTCGGCCAGCCAACAATCAGGAGTCCACCGCGGTCGCCGCCTTTCCTCAACTCCTCTGCAAGTTGAAGCGTCGGAACCATCGCCCGAGCCACGGCAAGGCGCCGATGGCTCCAAAGGACAGTCGCGGCTGTTCCGTCTCACAGTCCCGGCGGCGTTGGGCGGGGCACTCGCACGGCGGGGCTGTCGGTGCGCCATGCAGCCGCACTGCAACGCCTGTCGGTGAAGCAGTCGAGGCCCATCGCCTCCACAGCAACGCAACGTGCAATCGGCCACAACACCGCCACATTATAGTCTTTTTCTATTTTATTTTATTTTATTCACTTTGTCGGTGTGTTTGCCCCATTACCAACACCAGTAATGAGTGTGCACCTTCACAAAGAGAAAAGGAGGCGCAATCCCACCGTCCCGCCGCGGGTCAACACTCTCCTCCACCCACCACCATTGCCGCACAGGAAACCGCAGTCACATCGGAGAGTCAGCACCACAATGTCCACCACACCATCATGCACTGAACGATGGGCGAGACGCGGCCACGCATCGCCCCGCTCCATTTTCCCACCACTCAAGTGTTGCGTGCCCACACAAAGTAGCAAACAGAATCAGAGTGCACACAAACCCAATCAACACCCTCACTCGCTGAAGCACTTTACTTCGCATGGAGTGACAGTTAAGGACACACCAGCAGTAGCTGGCTGCATGGAGTTTCCCTGCCAACCCTGCAAAGAGACACAACAACTCTGCGGAGCCAAAGCGGCAGCCCTCGGTGTTGCCTGCAGTTCACATGGCAGGACAAATTCCACGCACGCATAGTTCCGGACCCCGTGCTGTTTGAGTGCACACCAACAGAACAAGCAAAAAATACCTGCGCGCAAGATGGAATTAAATACGTGAAAAAGTCGGCCTGATTTCTCCGATGGCGTTGGCGAGCGACCCCACACAATCCAATCAAAGTGACACGCCGGACAGAATGGCTTCAGTCAATAATCATTAAAAACCACGCCAATGCAAAAAGCAGCAGGAATTTGGGTTTTATTCCTGAATTCGGAGACGACAGTGGCATGAGAGTGTGTACGTGTGCAAGGCCTTTCGTGGGACGGTGCTCCCCAATCCCGCCGTGCCCTGACACAAAAGGGCAACAAATGAAAAAAGGAGCACACTCCCCAGAAAGGAGTGACGGTTGGGCAGTCAACCCCCGTTTCGTCTCACATGACATCCACATATGTGCACTCCACCTCAAATACGTACCTCCCTGGACGCCGCATGCATGACGTGTGGTTTCGTCGCTCGCAATGTGTTTTTCCTCCCACAAACAACAAAAAGGATGGTCATGGCGCAGCTTCACTCAGGGGAGGCAATCGGGCAGACACGGGTGGGAAACAAAGATCATACAAAAATATTTAAAAAAAAGAGGGGCAGGGCAATAACTCCTCCAAGCCACAGCATCGTGCAATGTTCATCCCTCTTTTTCTAAATTGAAGACCTCCCCAACAGAACAAATGCAACAGACACAAGTGCCACACAATATTTTTTCTGTCCTGCGTCCCATCTTAGTTCCCATGAGTGCCACGGCGGTGGTGCCTGCGTTACATCTGGGATAACCCCAAAATATCAGGCAGCATGCTGTGGAGAGTGGGCACTTGGCGAACGTGCCCACGTTACTGCCCAACACAAAATGACTTCAAAAAGAAAAAACTATTCGCGGCTCAAACTACCCGTGTGTGGCCGTCCTAAAGCAACACTGAGACACGTGTGGAGCAACGAAAAAGAATGAGAGAAAAAAGAGAAAAGAAAATAATGAAATACCCACAGAAACACATCGATAAATATATATGCATACGCAAAGTAATACATCAATCCGCATAATTCTTCGTTCTTTCTCCTGTTGTACTTTCTACACAGCATCAGAAGTATAAAAAGTGACAGGCATGCCCTCCCACACAGTCATCGTGGAACAGGAGAGAGAGTCACTGCAGGCACCCGCACAAAAATAGAAACAAACCAACAATCAATGACGTTGTCGGTGCGGAGTCCGATTGGTGGCTGCGCAGCTGCACAGCCGTGGCTCCCACGCCCTCCCTCATGTCAGCCAGCAACGCGCACTCACAACTTCCAGGAGGTGACGCCTCACAGAAGGGCTTCATCGATTGTTTTCCCTAACGTTTTCCTGAATGCATCCTATGATCCGCACATCAGCCACCATCGTCGAGCACTTACTCATTACAGAGTACAGATATGAAATAGAGACCACCAGCCCCCATATTGGGTGCTGCAGCGAAGGCCGTAAAACACACGCACACACCCGTTACGCATCCGCCCCGGGCTAGCGTGATAGTTCGATAATCCGCTGTCGTCGATAATCGATAAAATAAAATAAGAACACCAAATCAATCGCCCAATCAATCTATGAATAATGGAAAGAGAAGATATCCGCCAGACGCATCCACGTTATGCCGCATCTGCGAGGGGCTTTGCGTCTTCTCGCCGCGTAACAGTACTGTTGAGTGGTGGAGCCTTTTCACCTCGAAAACAACAAACTGCGATAAATTTTTCGTCAAGCAAAGCATCTTCACCTGTCCAGAGGAGCATAATTAATGCTGCAGCTCGCACTGGATGCACGGTCGAGCAGACTCAGGGCGTCTGAGCGGGTGTCACCGGCCATGGGCTGCAGCTGTGCGGGTGGTCGGTACGACGACGCAACGGTG